CTTTATAGAATTCATGAAAGTTTCCATTCCATGTGTTAAAACTATTATTAAATTGTACTTATGTTTTATATTGTTAAATAGGCAGAGATTCGTTTAGATTTTTCAATTGAGTATAAGTATTCAGGTTTTTTTTAAGATTTATTTATTTATGCATACATGAACTAGGGTACAGGCCAGAGGTGTGGGGGTTAAGAGGATTCACCAGAGACAGAGTAGGGAACAGGCAGACTGACTGAAATACACTGCTGAGGGGAGCAGTGGGAGAGTCAGGAGAGGTCTGCTGCATCATGTGTGTCACCTCCCTGTCTGGGTATTGAACTCATGCTGAAGTGGCTGTGGACAGCTTCATAACGCTGCATCTTAACCTTTTGCGCCACCAGGGAGGCTGCTTCAGATTTCTTAATCAACCATTTTTCAGTAAAGAATCACATGCCAAAATAACATTACCACCTCAAAAATCAGCAAAGAATCTACTTTTCCAAATATATATTTCTAATCTATTTAAATATAAGGATAAACAAAACATATTTTTTAATCTTTAAAATTACATAAAATGCTGTAAGGAAATTTTAAAATTAAATCCATACATTCCTAGGGCATATATATTCATCTTTCCAACTTTCTAATTTCATTTATTAGAATAATTTAGGTATAGACTACTTTGCATTTAAAGCATGTCCACATGTACAGTTTACTAGTCTTTTTATTAATAATTTCTCATTATATTCTTCTTCAAATTTAATCTAAAATTCATTGTTCACATTAAATAACGTTTTCCACTGCCCCTTTTTCCTCCACAGTGGCTCTTTTGATAGAGTTATTCTTAAAGGAGTCTGTGACTGGCTGTTCTAGGAAAAACACACACACACACACACACACACACACACACACACACAAACAGTGCTGATTCACAAAGGCTACTTTCATGAAGTCTTGAAGACTTTAATTTTCCAAAACAGTCAACTCTAGTCAGAGAGGTATTTACCAAGACTGGCCCTTTGCCATGCTAAAAATTTTATTGGGATTTCCTGTAACTTGAAGAACACTTGGTGAATAGACCAAGCCATGTCTCCAATGAATGACAGATCCCAAGTCACTCTGGGAAACTAGGACAAACAGTAAAATAAGAGTGAAGGAATATATTGAAGACATTCTGTCATTAGGATGAGTCATTCAAGTCACATGTAGATTACTTCCATATTTTTATTCTGTTAAGGTGTATTTGACAAATCACCAGTAGAAGTTAAGTTACTAGCATTTTCTGGATTCCACCCACAACATGGCAGAATAAAGAGATTGGAACTAAGGTTGGTGACCACTGAAAACATGATAAAAAATATTATTTTTTGAATAATGAGGAAATGAGAATTTCCCACAACAGAATTAAATATGGAAATAAAACAAGCAGAGAGAACATCTAAATTTTTAGATGCAAAAATATCTACACCCACATACATCATTGTCAAACTATCAAAAATAAAAAATAAAAAAGGATAGAATTTGGCAGAAAGAAAGGAATACAAAATAAGGGCTCCAAAATTAAGATTTTCCCTTATTTCAGTCTAGACAATCTCCAAGCAAGAAGAGAATGGAAGAAAATATTCACAATCCTAAAAAACAGAAATTGTCAGTCAAGAATTCTCTATCCCACTAAATAATCACCTAAGTATTAAGGAGTAATAAAGGTTATTTCAGACAAGTAGAAGCCAGTGGATTTTGCCATCAGTAGAACAGATCTTCAAGTCATACAAAAAGGAGTTTTTCTACAAGTTAAAAAAATTGAAGCACAAACTCCTTAAGAAAATGGCAAAAGCAATACCAGTACCAACAAGAATACTATGACTCAGCAACACCAAATACTAAGGGTGTGGAAGAAATGGGTTGACCAATATATCAATTTTTGAATGTCAGAAAACAGATACCAGCTCATTAAGGATAAAAACATAGGAATTCAAGAATAACCCTCATGGTAATCATTAACCAAAAATCCAGAATAGACACCCACAGAAGAAGCAAATAAGTTGATAGAAATATTAAGGAAAGCCATCCAGAAGAAGTAGAGATAAATAAAGAGAAATAGAAACCACAGAAAAATAAACAGTTCATATCAATAATAGCCCTAAATGTGAATGATCTGAATACACCAATAAAAAGATATATGCCAACAATTTAGGTTAAAAAAATTCTATTCAGGGGCCTCCCTGGTGGCGCAAGGGGTTAAGCACCACACTATGAAGCAATCCGCAGCCTTTGCAGCATGAGTTTGATCCCTGGCTGGCCAGGGAGCAACCCACATGGCACAATAGACCTCTCCTGTCTTGTCCGCTGCTCCCCTTAGCAGTGTATTTCAGTCAGTCTGCCTGTTTTGCTCCCCACTCTGTCTCTGGTAAATCATCTTACCCCTCACATCTCTGGCCTGTATCCCAGCTCTTGTATGCATAAATAAATAAATCTTTAGAAAAAAAGAAAAATTTCTATTCATTAATACTTTGATTACAAACAACTTATTGAAAACCTAAAGATAAAATTGAACTAAAAATAATAGACTGAAATAAGTTTATACATGCCAATAATACAAAAAATAAATCAGAAACTACTATTCTTATATCTACTAAGTTAGACTTTCAACTTTCAACTAAAAAAGTAATCATAGACAAAGATGAACACTATATAATGATCAAGGGAACAACAACTTACCAAGAAGATAATACATTAATATTTATGCTTCAAATATAATAGCACCTAGTTATAGACCTAGGTTTAGGTCTGTTAACAGACCTAAAACAATTTATCAACAAAAATACATCGTTGGAAATTTCAACATACCACTGACACAAAGGAATAATTATTTAGACAGAAAATTAATAAAGAAATCAAAGCCGCAAATGAAGTACTAGAACAGATGGAACTCTCATCCGCTGTTGGGAAGGCAAGCTGGAACAGCCCCCATCGAAAATGGTATGGACACATCTCAAGAAAATAAAAGTGGAAATTGCATTTGATCCAGCATTACCACTATTAGGTATCTCTCCAAATAACATGAAATATGTAATACAAACAGATCTATCAACAACTATGTTCATACCATGTTTTACAATTGCCAAATCATGGAGTCAACCCAAATGCCTTTCAGCAGATGGATAAACTGTGGATCACATATTCAATGGAAGTTTACACAGATTTGAAGAAAGACAAAGTGGTGGCATTTGGCTCAAAATGGATGGACTCTGAATTGATTATGATGAATGAAATCAGTCCAAAAGTAAAAGACAGCTATCAGATGGTTTCCCTTATCTGAAGAATATAAATATATAAAAAAAAAGATAATGTTTATCAGAAATGTTAGGGAGAAGGGTGGAGGAAATGGGACATGGAAATAAGATGAGTTATGGGCACTGGTATTTGGTGGAGGTAATAAAAAATATTAGAGATTAGACTGGGTACTTTCTAGAAGCATAGCTTCTTAAACTTGTGTTAGGCCCTGAAGGCCATGTATTCAAGTTATGCTGACAGATGGTTTTTAGAATCATCCAGGAAGCTGTTAAATCTTCAGATCCTGAAATCGGGCCAATGACAGTTATGTAGCATTCTGTAAGTAAGACTAGGACTGGCTTATGGGATTCATAACTATTTCATATTCTGGAATATATTCTATCAAAAAAATTGAGTTCAGCAGAACAGCAGAAAGAGGTTATTTCCTATTTCTGGAAGCAGAGTATTTTTCTAATTTTATATTCTTTTTGAGCAATCCAAATAACTGGCTTTGTGGTCTATCATATTCACCCAAACAATATGCCAAACCTTGTGCTGGGCAGTGGGTAGACACCCATACACACACTTACACACACACAAACACAACATTGTTTTCCTAAAAGAGTTTGGAGAAAATGAATATGCTGGACCACTAATTCATATTTGGAGAACATATTCACAGTCAGTTGTATGAGAATAAGGCATTAGAAATTACTGCCACCATGACGAGCAGTTAAAGCCATTCGATACTACATGTATAAACACATATGTGTACCTGCACACACAAATGGTTAATACTGACATAAGTATACTTCCATTTATTCATATTAGAATAGTTATGGTAACTTCTCTTTCCTATTAGTTATAGTAAGTTTATCTTGAAATCACATAATGCACAAATATATTTCAAAGTAAATTATTTCCATTTCTCAAAATATTAATATGATCTAGCAATTCCACTCTGAGTATATACCAGAAATATCCATTTCTGATATTGATCCATTTCTGAAAACATGGCATAAGATTAAAACAGCATTTATTAGTGACAGCCTACATATACTACAACTGAAAAGAACCAGGATCTGGGAGAAGACTTTCCTCTGCGGTGGTACCACAAGGGACATTAAGCTGACTTGCCTGGGTAGAACTCTGCTTTTTAATTCATCTGTTCTGACTGAATGCTTGTATGACATGCTAATTGTTACATATTTGGAATACCATCCCTTAACTATAGTTAACATAACCATGCTAAATTACTAAAATATCTCTTCAACCAATGCTTCTTTCTCCTCTTTGGTGGCATTTACTTTGGGTATTACATACCACCAAAGAGGACAAAGAAAGCAGAATCCAACTTCCTTACTTCCTACAAAGTTCATCTCCCAAGATGTTAATTGTAAATTTTTGTTCAACACCATATCCTCTGGGCTGGAAGAGCACCAGGTCCAGAGTAGGTATATAAAAAAAAAAACAACACACACACACACAACACACACACACACACACTATATGGTTTCTTTCCGCACTTGTAAAATGATTAGATAAAATCCATTTTAAGATTACATATAATACCATTCAATTTATAATTCAATAAACACAGTTTTGACTAAGTCATGATCAGTGAATATACCAAACAAAATTGAGGGAAAAAAGGACAGATTATTACATCCAGTATTTTTTCAGGCTAGTCTACCACATACTCACTTTTAAAAAGAAATCAACAATAATAAAGAAAACAAAAGAAACTTTATTTAAATTACTTTATTTTTCATAATTTTCTAACACACAGTGTTAGAAAGTGAATTTTGGCACCATGGCTTAGAACTTTATTTCAAGTTTAACCTTTAAATTAAAAACAGCAGCTACAATAAAGATACTTAAACCTTACTCGGAGAAATGGCAAAAAAAAAAAAAACAAAAAAAAGAGTCCAACAATGTTGTGTGTTGGGGAAATTTTGGAAAGATAGAGGGGAGCTATTAAAAAGAAAGATAAAATGAACACTGTACTAGAAAGAAATCAAAGTGAGTAATTCTGCCTAAAAAAAGAATAAGGAGACAAAATGCAAAAAGGAAGTAGAAAGGCTCACCAACTTTATTTTCCTGATATAAAATTCAAGTACTTAAAATGTATTTTTAAATCATAAAATGTTACTGCAAAATTTTCTTTCTCCTCATTATTTTCTAGAATTGAAAAGCTAAGCAAAATCTGTTTTGACTTAAGGACATTTGCTGATCTTAGGTAGATACTTGATAAACTTTAAGAAAAGGAAAAGATTTGAAAGCTTTCCTAAATCTAATATCTACTTAATAGCATATACATTGGAACATTAATCTGAGAAACACAGGGCTTGATTTCTACTACAAATGTAAAAAAAAAAAAGTGTCTAAATATCTAAACAAAATGCTTTCAACTGGACATGTGTGTATATTGTGTTTTACTGTTTCTTGGGAAAAATATGATGTGTAAGATTGTTCCTTGTATTCCCTCAGTAATTATTAAAAAGCTACCTGCATAGGTAGGCAAAAAAAAAATCTTACACAATCAATCAATCAATTGCATCATATTCAGTTAGAAGCCTGGTTTTCCGATTGGAAATTGTCAATTTTCATTTATATCAATTTATCTATATGTTATTAAATACCATACTTCCCAGAATTTTGTTAAATAAGAAAATATTATTTATCACTTGTACATTTGTACCTGAATATTTCATCAACTGAAACACAAAATTAAAAAAAAATTATCATTATTCTTAGAGACAATAAGGCACAGAAATAAATATTTACTTTAACTTTTGTCCTTTCTTTTCTTCTTCAATCTGTGTTTTAAGGCTCAGAGCAGACAATAAGAAATATCAAACAATTTTTTTACAAAAAGTTTTTCTAAATGTTTGGCCCAAAATGAAGTTGTTCTGTTGAAGTTATTTAAATATTCCTCTCATCTTCTCAAGCACAACTTCAAAGATATATTCATGTCCGTCATTCATTCCCAAAGAAAATTCAATTCCAAGAAAAGTAAAAAGCTTAGGGATCTATAAATGACACTGCAATGTATCTAGTTCCATTTTTAACAGGAAGCCCTTCATGCAAATGTGTGAGTCTCCCTGGATGCATGAAGCTCCAGCCTTTTCGTGGTGATTCAATAGAGCAATTGTACCTCAGAAATTTGCAGCCACCTCCCTAAAAGAAATGGAAAAAAAGTACATCAGCTTACTATGTTTAATTTTTAATTAGTCATAAAATTCAAATTGTACCATCAAAACCAAAATCTAAAAAAATAAAATAAAATTAAGGCAAAGGCCTCCTCATAATAGCATATTTCTTTTCAATAATGTAATAAATAAAAGCCATAATTACCTGAAAATCTTCTCCCACATTATTAAGTGCAATATTTATGGTAAACGTGGAGGCATCGTGGTGAGGACGAAGAGAACGCTGTCTATCAGGGGAGTATTTTACTACAAAATTCAATAGCGCGAAACCCTAAAAAAGGCAAAGTAAACTGATGGAGTTACTTATCAACAAAAATATAACGTAGAACATTTGTGTGAAAACAGGCCATAAGCAAGAGGAATGGGAGGATAACTACCTTCGTATAATACCCTGCAAAGACCTTCAGTGTAACTGGTGCAATAAACTCCCGGATAAAATGAAGCCATACAGTCTCCAGATCAATTTGCTTCATGTGGATATCATCAGTTGGGACATTTTCATAACCACCAGATATACGGCTATCCTAGAAACAGCATTAATGAAATCATAAAATGTGGTCCACATGCAACTCATATTTATATTGTCTCTTGGAATTTTTTCAACTGCAAGATCATAATAAACAATAAAAATAACAGTTCAATTATAGCACACCATCTGCTTTAACTGTAAAACTATCAAAAATAACTTATATGCCAGGCTTGCAAATGTATCAATAATGAAACAAGTATTACAGACTCAGTAGACTCCTTTCTTTCTTATTTAATGTGTGTGTGAGGTTTGGCTATAAAGTAAATAAAATTGATTTCTGAAGCTCTCCCTTATTCCCTAAAAAATAAATTTTTCACAGAGATCCTTCTGGAAGCTTTATTTACTGTGATGGATGATAGATTCTGCTTAGCTCCTTTTTGGATTACCTACCACTGTAGCGATCTTTCCCTGCTAGGTGTCTCACTTCTATTTTGGAGCACTGCAAAGTCCTCCCATGATCACTTTTCATTATGCTACAACTGGTGAAGTCAAGTACTTCCTCACACTTTGAACTTTTGTCTCCCTGCTCAGCTAACTAGCTGGGTGTGTAAATATTCAGAAGCAGTAATATTCCAAAATATTCCACTTAAATTCCTTGGTATTAAGGAGCTAGCATCTATGGATTTTTAGAGCAAAAAAACATGTTGAATACACACAATACTTCCTGCCAAGTCTTTAACACTGAATGTAAATGCAAAACTGAATTATGCATTCAAACACATTCCCCCTTACATTTACACACACACACACAAATTTGGCAGTCAATCAGATAAAATTTTATCTTAGTATTCTCACTATAACTCCCTGTGAAAATGCAGAGAATAAAAGGTGACTTGCTGAAAAGCAATATCCCACAGGAAAAAAAAAAATAATAATGCATCTTTCCATCCCCAACCTCCAGGACACTGACCCTGAGGGACTATCAGGTCTAATTATATGCATAAATGAGAAACTGAGGCCCACACAGGTAAAAATGTTAAATAGTTACAGAATTAGAGTGGAAACAGAGCTCTCCTGAAGTACTGGCTAGCCATTTCATTCTAGTGTAGGACTCAGAGATGTATGACAACATGGACAAATCCCCTCTGAATTCTCATAATACCTACTATTTTCCCACCCCACATATGCACTTTAGTTTTTTTGTGTGAAATTTCAACTTACATGATGTTTTCCCCCAGACCACTTGCCATAGTTCTCCATTTCTTCCACTAATTCATCACATGCTTTTTCAGAAAATATGGGAAACCAAAAGACATCTGGACAAGGCTATAAAAGATGGCATCACCATTATGAGAATAACATTAATGACTTTTAACTAATAACTGGCATTTTGAAAATGGTAGGACAGAATACTTAATATTCACCTCACATTTTAAGAAGTTCACCCAACATTGTTGACATTATATTTACAAGCAATTCTAATAGGGTTTTCCTTTTTAACTCTCTCATACTATTTTTTTTTCAATTTAAACATCTGTGAAATCAAGATGTATTAGAGAAATGATCAGAGAGCCATTGTGATGTAACTGTAAGATCACAGTATAGGTATATGCTTGGTAAAATTTTCATTCTACCCTCATTGTATTTCTTTGTGCACAAGCACAAGCAGATTTAGTTTTTGTTGCATTTGCTCAGATGACTTTTGTTAAAGTGCATTTTAAAGTGACTATTTTATTTCAAGTAACTCTATGATTTGCCACTGAAATGAAAAATTGTCACTAGGATATATGATAAACTCTTTGTTTTAACAAGTCTTATATAACTCTTCCAGTATGTTCAAGATAAAAAAAAAAAATCTAAATGACTAGCAAACAATTGTCATAGTTTGGTAGTATTTTTTTTTTTTCTCACAGTAAAAAAAAAATAAATTTCAGACTTGAGGATGCTTTACATTCTCTGAAATGAGGTACTAGTTGGAACACTAAAAGAGTTCATTTTTAAAAGGCCTTTCTGAACATATTCTTGGATCCCAATCACTGAACAAATCTGGTGCCAGAGATCTGCCAATCCTTATATTAGTTGTTTCAGAGAACTATGATATTTGGGGTTGTGCTGAAAAAGAAGGTATTATATAAAAATCATTCCTAATTTCCATGCTCGCCATTTCTATAACTACCTGATCCTTGATTCTGCTGACCTAGTAATTCAGTTATATGAATTTAGTCATATGGTGTTTCACAACTTTTGCTGAAGCAGTACTGCAGGGAAGTAATCCCTTCTGGAAATCATCAAAAATGCTCTAGACATCATAGTAGTAACTCATACAAACCTGTTCAACAATATTTTCAGTGAAAATCTTTGGATAATCACGGTTTATATACTTGTCCTTCCAATCCTACAACAAAATCAAATGCACAGATTAAAACTAATTACCTTTTCAGAAATATTTTATAGAAAATATAAATTATGCACATTTTAGAAATCACTAAATTTTTTAATGACTGTGTAGTGAACACAACAGGAATTCTCAGAAACCACTGTTTGTTTTTAAAATTTGCCTGACACTGTGCGTACTCATATAATTCTATGAAACATGACATTTTCATAGGTGAAGATATATACCACACGATTTTAAAACTTGAGTAATTTTTACAGTGATTAGATTTGGATGCTACAATAAATCTAATGCATATATGAAGGGGTAGTTATTTAAAGTGTAAGTCCAGGGCCTCTCTCGTGGCACAGGGGTTAAGACACAACATATGAAGAAATCCACAGCCACTGCAGCACAAGTTCGATTCCCAGCTGGCCAGAGAGAAACCCACATAGGGGACAGACCTCTCACCCACTACTCCCCTCAGCAGTGTACTTCAGTCTGTCTGCCTGTTCTGTTCCCCACTCTGTCTCTGGTGAATCCTCTCACACCCTGCATCTCTGGCCTGTGCCCCAATTCTTGTATAAAAAAAATATTTAAAAAAAAAAAGTGTAAGTCCATGAGACAGGGAGTAGGACAGCAGCACCATAGCTTATTCTGGGTAGGAGTATCTGTTTACTTTCATTTTTCATTAAATTTTTTTTCTTACATAGTTGTTAATTTTTGGACAGTATATATTTCTCCTCTCAGGTGTAGTCTCCATAATTCTCCCACCGCCACAGCACCTGGGATCCATAGCCACAGTCCCTGTGCTTACCCTTCCCTTGTCTTTACCTCTCCATGCCCTTCTCCCACCTATGCCTCAAGTCTATGATTAGCTTGCAAATTTTGTCTTTTCTCTGACTCTTCGTTCAATTTCTCTATATTCCACATATAAGTGAAGCCATCTGATATTTATCTTTTTCCTTCTGACTTATTTTGCTTAATCCCTTCCAGTTCCATCCATGTTTCCACAAATGGTATGAGTTTATCTTGGGACTATTTGCTTAAAAGTAAAGGATAATGAACAAACTCCTGCCAACAAATAAAAACAAAAAATAAATATCAAATCAATTGACAATCATAGTTTTATAGTGAATTATTCTTTAACAATCTTTATTTTTTACTATATTTCTGATTAAACTTCAGCTTTTAATATGTATCAAAGAATGATCGTGGGATTACTAATACTTTCACTTTTTAGCTACTGAAATTAAGATATAAAACTGTATACTGAAAAAGAGTTCCACTTCATGCTAATTCATGAAACTGTTCTCTTTGATCAATCTCTGAGGTATAAACCACATAATAAGATACTTCAACTTTGTCAACACTGGCTAAGTAATCCTTTTCTTAGGACTTTGTCTCTTAGGTGAGACAGCCTAGGTAAGAGAAATTGCAGTGATGGGATAAATTCCCAAAGTCCTGTTTGACCATGTGAACTAAATCTTGGAATTGTGAGCCGTGTACACAATTCGGTACCCCACACAGACCATAAGATCTCTTGACTTATATATCATGAGTTACACCTTGACTAATGGTTATCTTAGAATTTCCCAGAGGGAGAAAACCTAGAGCCCATACTGCACGCTTGGAATGTAACCCATCTATGCATCCCAGGCACAGTCTAAACCAAAACAAGCTATGGCACAGCTCTCCAATTCCCCACCTCATGGACTTACCCTTTAAATACCTCCTCCTAAACCCATCCAGGGAGCGAGGTTATATTCTCCTTTCCCACACTGGCTCCCTCATTCATATGTCTCTTTAATAAAGCCTTGCCCTACAATTAGTGCTCTCTGGTGAATTTCTCCCAAGAGGACAAAGGACTCATTTTTTGTGTCAGGACCTGTAAAATGAATCAAGTGTTTTATTTAAAAATCCAGTATATATTGAATGATTTGATCCAAAAAGGTCTCTTCATAGACCTATTTAGGTTGCTTATCAAAATCGTTAATTTTCTCTTTACAAAGTACAAATAGAGGGAGCCAACAGGAAAGAGTTGTATGGCTCAAAATAATTATAATCAAAAAATGTTTCAAAAGATATTTGTCTGAAATATATCTTTTGTGGTCACATTCAGAGAACCCCTGCTAACTTAATCATAAGGATCAAATTACCTTATTATCTCATTTTGACTGATGAGTGTTCTGATTAAAAAATGAGGGGAAATTAGTCATACGTTATGTACTTTTTCCTAAGCCTCATTACTGGTTTTTTTTTGAAAATAAAGAAAAAAGCCCCTAAAATTTTACACTAAGTATTTAATATTATTTTTCATTTTAAACTATCTATCAAATAGTCAATAAACTGTGTTACTTTACCTAATATCTTTTAGGTTCTGAGTGATAATGAGAAATCATCAAATATTTGCTATGAAATATTCCTCAAAAGGTATATTGATCAAACTAATTTATGAAAGACAAAGCAAAAATATGGAACAAAAAGCAATTCCCATTAATATCTGATACTCTCCTCACAATTACATTCTTACATTAATATCTACAATTCAATATAATGTGGACATTGTTGTCAGGAAGCTAACATTACCCAAGAAATCAAGTAAATCTATACCTCAAAATACCAAGAAGCTTAGTACTGATGTAATATATGTAATTTCACCCAAACCATGAAGAAAAGTCTCTTTTAAATTCTGCTGCTGAGAAATATGAAGATACTGCAGCTAAAAATGGAACAAAAGAACTTTTTCAATGCAAACATGTCAAATGATACTTTTTCCTCCTTACAACAGTGTTAAGATATCATTATGGGGCCTCCCCTGTGGCGCAGCGGTTGAGCGCTGGGTTGCAAAGCTGCCTGCAGCCTCTGCAGCGCCGGTTCAATCCCCGGCTGCTCCCAGGCCACCGGAGGAGGGTCCCACATGGCGTGCAGACCTCTCCTGCCGCCCGCTGCTCCCCTCAGCAGTGTACTTCGGGCCTTCTGCCTGTTCTGCTCTCCGCTCTGGCTCTGGTGAATTCTTTCACCCTCCCTCGCTTCTGACTGTACCCAGTGCTCGTATAAATAAATAAATCTTTTAAAAAAAAAAAAATATCATTATGTTTACTGTCCCCAAATGCCAAACACTCCTACAAAATAAAAGACACTTCTAATCAGGTTGACCCAATCTTTTTAATTTATAACTTCACTGTGGCAAAGGAAAATCTTAAATAATTGTATTACAAAGATGGTTAGATGGTTATTCAAGAGAGTATTTTCTCTTGGATAAATATGCCAACTTGACTAAAGAAATTAGGACTCAGCAAGACAAAAAAATAGTTAATCCCTGTATATTCAAATCCTTAAGGGAGATAAGTTTAGAGTCTAAAAGGAAATAGTTTCCTTAAGACTTTCTTTATATGCTGATTTCACTTAGTCAGCCATTTGTTATGGTTATCTTTGGTGCATATTCACAATACTTTTATAAACAACACATAAAGTGCCTATAGTAAGTGTATTTTCCAAGCTAACATCTGTAATTTCCTCTTAAAAATCAGAATGTATGTCATATGTGAGCTACTTGCAAATAATTTTTCTAAAATCATGATTAAAAATTGATGGTATCTTTGTACATATAAAACTGAAATACTGGAATAAATCAAAGATGTTGATGATTCCATCCCCATTTCAAATGCATGTTTTTTTAAATACTATTAATCAAGTTTATAAGTATTTTGCAGATCATGTAGTTAATTTATCTTTTTAAAGATAATATAACTTAAAAAAAAAAAGCTTCTGACCACAGTTTCCTATTATCATCCCAATTGATTTACATCCATTTAGAGTTATGAGAAAATAAATAATAAATATAGCTGAGTATAAAATACATACCACAGGATTTTCAAAAATCTGCCAGAGGTCATTGTTATAATGGGAAGTATTATAATTAGCAGTTGATAACAGTCTTCCAAATTCATGTCTATTAGAAATGTACATAAACATACCCTAAATGCCAAAAAACATCAGTATTAACAATCTTAGAAGTACAAAAAATACATCTAACCATAGGAAAAATATACAGACAATGCAAATTTTAACTTTTATATTTAATTCATGAACATGCATTTTCATTTATCATATAAAACATGCATGATTTAAAATTAAAAAAATAAAACTTGGTTATGTATTCAGACACCACACAAAACTAATTGATAGCACTGACACTCAACTGAAAAAAAGAAGAGGAAGAATGGACTGTTTTTGTCCCTTTCTCATTGATGCTAGATGTAGACATCTGGGGGAAAAAATTCCTGTTTAGAAGGAGAAATATTTTTGAGACACCAAAATACAATGAATTTTACCTCTTCTGGCTTTTTTTCTCTTTCAAATAAGCCAACATATTTTTAAACAAGAATTCAAGTGTCAATATTATTTCATCGGTTTATTTTAAATTTTCATCTTAATTTTTAAAATCTGACCACAGAAATTACTCATACATTGTAAGGCAGCTAAAGCAATTAAGTCTTATATCCTTGCCCCCAACCAAATAAAAGTGGCAAATACCACTAAGGTTAAGAAGTTTCTCTCTGTACCTGTTTTAAATGATAAAACATTAGTTAAAAAAAAATAAGAGTATCCAAATCGCATTTTAATCAATATGTATCTATACTTACATCTACCCCTTCTTTCCCTTAATAAAACAAAAAAATATAAACTGGAAAAGCTAGTGAAACAGTATTGGGTTAAATTTTCTCATCCATAAATATCTTAACTATAAAAAGTAAATCAGCCCAAAGAACTAAGAGTTGACTATGACACAATGTTCACCTCCAATGCACAAAGCATACACACGCATATGCACAGATTGAAAATCAATGATTACCAACATTTTACCAATCTAACTGGAAAGGAGACTTTTGAAGAAAATTTACTGCAAGGCAATACCATATATAGTATTAATAAACAAAAATAAATAAAAGTAAATAAAAAGAACACCTTTGGGGGGCTGAGCATTTGGAATGTTTCCGGAGTAGGGGAGTCTTTTTCCCTTTGTAAAGTCTAAAATGAAGAGAAGCATTGGGTAAGTTGACCTGCAAACCCACTCTCTCAGTATTCTTAGGTAATAAAAATAGCAGCCCTGATCAAAAGCTGACATTCCAAAATGCGCTTTATAAACAACATGCAGAACAAGCAAAGCTTACAGCGCACATAACTCCAGCCCTTTCTTTTTCTTTCTTTCTTTTTTTTGGGGGAGGGGAGTGTCAAACATAAATCCAAGCTCATTCCTTAGCAGAATTTTCATTAGACACAAAATTAAGACAAAGGAAAAAATGTGTAAGAGAGGCCATTCCAGTATGCACCACTGAGTCAAATTAGCTGAACATGAGCACAGATTACAATCACAGGTACTGAGGATATTCAATGAAAAAGTGCAGAAAGATTTGTAGGGAAACAAATATATTCAAACAATACATGCCTTATTAAAAACAAAGAAAATAATACTTGCCAATTTTTCTGATTTTCCCCAAATCTCATTTGCTTAGATAAATTTGAATAATCTCATCATTTATATGACAGAAATTCTTAAAATATACTTTAAACATTTGCACATTTTGAAAAAGCAAATATTTTCTGTAGTTACTCAAGTTTTAAAATGAAAGTTGTTTTTAGAATAGCAATATATCATTAAATTCATATATATACATATATATTCTACATATCTTAATCCTTCACCCATTTTAGTGGTAAAGAAATCATCTTATTATAAGAACAATGTTAATAATGATAGAGAAAACATGGATATTTATTTCAGAACAAAAATGTGCTCTTAAATGTATAAGTGATCATTTTACTTGGCCTTACCTAATTAATTTAATTAAGTCATTTTTACTGTAATTTCAAATGAAATTAAAGATGAACTCTTAAAAATGCAAAGCTGATTTGTAACAAATCCACATTTACCACTGAAATTCTAGTGTTTATGAGTTATCCTAAGCACCAAACCTAACATTTTCAAATTATTTTCTATAATTGCTCCCAAATATTCAAAACAGAACCAAAAAAATTGGCTAGTACTTACAAATTAGAAAGACAAAGATATCAAACTCACATTGACATATCAACTGTTAAAGCAAGCCATTTTATAAGGACTTTGAAGCAAGTCATCATTTTAAACCCTACCATTTCTCTAGCATTTCGGCAAAGAGCCATATCAGGATCCAATTTATCACGAACAAAATAATTCCTTTCACTCATCTCTGATCGCAGTGTCTTGCCTTTAATTAAGTACACGTTAGCCATGTATGGGACATTCCATATCCCTCTAAAAGGAAAGAGAAGACATTCCAAAATACCACAAATACAAAATATTGAATGTTTTAGTATCATGTTAAAATAAATTCTTCACATGTTTATCAATTTTGTATATATGATTATTGGATTATTTGCAATTGCAAACACATTTAAGATAGCTGACAAATATATAAACACAATATACATATAATACATATGAGATTACTTGACAACTTGGTCTATACCACATTTTTATGAGCTAAATTACTATCTCCCTTGATAAACTTCAATTTTAGATTGATATTCATTGGGCATTTTGGCTGTTGTCCCTCAATTTGTCATTAGAGAAAATATTGTTATACCGCAGTTTTTCCATTTAAGATTAAACAATCTGATACCAAAAATAATCACATGCAACAGATGGTATGCTACAGCCAACTAACTCACCCTGGCTCCCCAGAGCTGATTTTTAGCTTCACTTTCTAAATTAATACTCGCTTATTTCACATTTGCAAATTTGAAATTAGTCATGGAAGAAGGATTTACATTACAGAAATTAGGAAACACTATAACCAGGGCACCCCCACCCCCAAGAACTAGTTATTAAGATATTTGTCAACCATTCCCAAAATATATTCTCTTGAAATCCATTAAGCATCTCAAGTGTTTGTACAAAAATGAAGGTATGAAGAAATATGCATTGTTCGGGGCATCCCTGATGGCTTAGGGGTTAAGTCTCAGCACTGCTACCACCATGGCTTATCATGACAGCCTGGGAGCTAGCCAGGGACCTGACCCAACAGAAAGCACCAGACCTCTCCTGTCTCGCCCACTGCTCTCCTTAGTGTACTTCAGTAGATCTGTCTGTTCTGTTCCTCAATTTGAAATCTCTCAGATCTCCCACCACCTCTGGCCTGCACCCCAATTTTTCTATGCAAAAATAAAATAAACCTTTAAAATATACACTGTATAGGATTTATCACTTGAATTAAAAAAGTAATCACTGGTAGATTGTGCAATGTTTCAATTTTGAAGAAAAACACAAATACATGTTTCAAAAGATGTCAAATTCCTTCATGTAGTTTTTGGATATGAAGTGTATTCCTTTATTGACTAAATCAAAAACCTCTACCATATTATTTCCCGTATATTTTAGACAACAATGACAGGAGGGTGGACAAGGACATCACCTGTGCTTAAGGTAACTTAAATGAAACATGAGTTCTCTATTCCACCTCTGCAAATGCTTATTCCAGCTATACCAAGCCGATATCAAGTGTATAGTCCATATAAATCATCCCAGTCAACAAAAGTACTTTGAAATAATAAAATTTGACCTCAGCGGTATTGTCTCAGATGTCAAGTTTCTTACCTGAAGCTAACAAAGGTCTTTCTCATATTTATATCATTTAAATTCACTATTACTATTCTCACATCTTTTACCACTCAACTGTTTAATGACAAGTATGTATGTTTTTTCCCCTAAATTTAAGTGCATATATTTCCAGTCATGAAAGAACTCAGTTCTAATTGTGGCACTATATCTCTGTCACTCACATCCATCATTTGTATGGAAAAAAGTCATACTTAATATTACTTGAGCAAAAAAAAAAAAAAACTTCAATTGCGAATATTTTAGTTAAAAACAACTGTTATTTCAGAAGTAAGTATCAATCATGGTCATATTTTATAAAAAGTATATATATTTTTAAATTCTTGAAATGGAAATCAGATTTTGGTGAACAAAGTAGAATATGATCTATTTCATTCAGCAAACTCCTGCAATAGAAAGTGTGGGAAGGCATTAATTATTGGTGATGTTCCTGTTTGTTTATTTATAAATTTTAAAAACTATCAAAACAACCTTCAACCTGGTCACTAAATAAATTAACTAACCTAAATTCCATTGCCCAAAGTTTTAACTAAAGAATATTATTTTCCTAATAACCATAAAATGGCTACCTATTTTCCATTAACAGTTCATTCTTTTGAACTTCAAAAACAGTTTATAAAATATCAATTTGATAGTATTTCAGGATCCTAAGTGATCACTGGATTTTCAAATTTCCATTAAACATAAAGAAAAGTAATAAACAATAACACATTAATGTTAACAATGTTAATCACATTTTGGATTATAATATTTTAAATTAAACTACTAAATTAAGTCACTTACACTCTATTCCCTTGAACAATATCCACATAATCTTCAGATCGAGCATAATATCCATCAGGACTCAGTGCTCCCCAGAAGTTGGACCACAGCTTTCCATGACGAGTTACAAGAGGAGCAATGATCTTTCTAGTTAGAAAAAAATTCAAATCCAAGTAATTATGTATTTGTAAATTGCCACAGAGTTAAGTGTTCTGGGCTTAGCATGACAAAGAAAACAACAAAGCCATTCAATACACATGTAGTTAGTCTAAAAAACTAAAGGTAACATAAAGGAGGAATTTCTTTCCATTACTTTTGCTTAAATAAGTACACAATTGATGTTCAACAATGCTTCTTAGAATAAAATAACAAAGAACAAGACAAAAGTAATTAAAAATACTAATGAAAGCATAAAAATGACTTTAAGAAAAATTATTGAAGTAATACTGGTTTACATCATAGTTTGTATTTAGGAAGTACAGGAGTCTCCATTCAGGCGTTGCTAAATAACACTCCCACCACCAAAGCACCCTTAGCCCAAATGACTTCTAAAAGTAACTTAGTTGTATCTAAAAAAAGTGAAGCTACCTTAATCATTTCAAGCATTTCAGAAATTATGTTAAATAAATCCAGTATTTTTGTCACTGGGCAGACATAATAGCCCCTGGTGCAATAAAGTATCTAATAAATATTTATTGAATTTTAAAGAAAAAATGAATGAAGATGGGCTGAAATATTTGTCAGTATGTTAGTTTTCTAAATTAAGTCCCACATTACTTTAAAGTATTACTTTTGCTTTACATATTTTAAATTAAGTTGTGTTATACCAGATAACAGTAAAATTTTTATGATCATTTAGCTAAATTAAAAAAAAAAAATACAATCGAGGTAATTGCCAAGGTAACTTCTCTCTCACCACTACCAGAAAGTTGTCCCCTTGAAACAGCCCAGTTTACAATTTAAAAGATGCCAGGGAAATCTAATTTATAATCAAAAATTTACCAAGTAACAATGAAATATGAAGTTCCTCAGTATTACCTCTAAAATGAACTGAACAATAGTAGTGTTCAGTTCAGGTAAGTAATTTTAAGAATAGCTCATGAAACTACTCAAGAGGAAGTATATGGACCAACAGTTCTCTATTAAAAAAAAACGCAAAAACTAGTATTAGTCATGTCATTATTTCAACTAGCTTTAAGTTTAAAAAAGGCCAAATATAATAATGATATATTACACTTGTGATCATAACTAACATTAAATATATCTAATTGTATCAGGTTTTCTGTTTGACTTAATTAAAACGAATTAGAATAAAAAGATTACAAACTTTGGAGAATAAGGTGTCCACACAGATGTAGAAAATGACTATCATTTAAAAAATAAATGTGTAAGGGATCTTAAGTAATACCTGTTTTGTTCAATCAAAATTTTTAAAGTCCTTGCATTTGTCAAAACAACATCTGCATCCACACTAAAGTAATATTCACAGTTTTCATCCTGACGGCAAAAATCCCTGCGGTTGAAAAAGAAGTGAAAAAGAATTAGATAAAACAAATATTGTTGAATGAAAATGTTAACATGAAATTTATATGTAAGGCGCCTCCCTGGTGGCTCAAGGGGTTAAGACGCAACCTACGAAGCTCTCTGCAGCCTCTGCAGTACGAGTTCCATCCCCCCACTGGCCAGGGAGCAACCCACATGGCACAGCAGACCTCTCTTGTCTCGCCCGCTGCTCCCCTCAGCAGTGCATTTCAGTCAATCTGCCTGTTCTGTTCCCCATTCTGTCTCTGGTGAATCCTCTCACTGCCCCGCAAGCCTATGGACTGTACCCCAGCTCTTGCATGCATAAATAAATCAATCTTTAAAAAAAGCTTAAAAAAAAAAGAAATTTATATGTAAAATAAGATTTCTCTACCATACTTTTCAAATCAAAATAGTAAGAATAAATACTGTCTTAAATTGTAAAATGGCAAGTTTATCAACACAGATGTTCATAAGTAGAGCAACACAAAAACTGTAAGCCAGGTGAAACTAATTACTTTCAGGTATTTAAAAAAATAATTCCCTCCTGTCAGAAAATGGTAATTTATAATTAAAATTTAATTTTTCTTAAAGGGGGAATAATTTACTGAAATAAATTTACCAACAAATTTCTCCATAAATCAAAAATTTGTTGGGCCTTCCCCGGTGGCACACTGGTTGAGCACTGGGCTGTAAGGCTGCCCACATCCTCTGCAGCACCGGGTCGATCCCCAGCCTCTGGCAAGGGTCCCACATGGTGCGCAGACCTCTCCTGCCATGCCCGCTGCTCCCCTCAGCAGTGTATTTCGTCAGTCCGCCTGTTCTGTTCCCCGCTCTGGTTCTGGTGAATTCTCTCACCCTCCCGCACTTCTGACTGTACCCCAGTGCTTGTATAAATAAATAAATAAATCTTTAAATAAATAAATAAAAAATGTGTTGCGCTCACTTACAGAGAGTGAAAAATCTTATATATCCAACCACTCAGCTTTGCATGAACCTTGGAGCTACAAATGTATAATTCTTAAGGTATTGGCACTTTTTAAAATTGATTTGCATGAAATTCTTTCCAAGGTAGTCACTTTCCTGCTTCCTAATAAGAAACTATTATGTACACATTTCTTGGTGAAGTCTATATCATTATCACAAAGAACAGTAAGGCGGACCACTCGTAACACCAATATGACACATTACGACTCCACTTATGGTTTCTGGAATTAAGCTTTCCTCTTTCCTTTTCTGAAATCCTACCCTCACTGCTGGCTCCAGTTATCATGTCCTGTTGTTGTCAGAGTCCAGCCCCATATCACATCCTTCTCCAAACAATCCATTGTCAAACACAACATTAACCAGGAAAGCTTATTAAAACTGCAAAAGTGGGCCTCCCCGGTGGCGCAGCGGTTAAGCGCTGGGTTGCGAAGCTGCCTGAAGCCTCTGCAGCACCGGTTCGATCCCCGGCTGCTCCCCGGCCACTGGAGGAGGGTCCCACAGGGCGTGCAGACTTCTCCTGCCGCCCGCTGCTCCCCTCAGCAGTGTACTTTGATCCTTCTGCCTGCTCTGCTCCCCCTCTGGCTCTGGTGAATTCTCTCACCCTCCGCACTTCTGACTGTACCTAGTGCTTGTATAAATAAATAAACCGTTTAAGATAAATAAATAAATAAAACTGCAAAAGTTAGAGACATTTTGAATGTGAATCCAATGGATTCTCCAATGAATATGTTATGCAACTAATTAGCAGCAACATTTGTTTAATTTTTCTGAGGCGTGTTTTTCTGCCACACACCTTAACCCCCATACCAGGTAATAGCTATCATTTTCAGTCCTGAACTTTCACAGCACAAGAAAGAACATCTGATGAGATGTCTCTATGACTCATTTTTCACAGTTCTTAGGCTGCAGCCTGGTATAATCACTAAATATTCACTGAATGCATGATTACTTTTACAGTACTTCAGATTTACTAGTAGTCTGTCTGAAGTATTACAGAGTCTAAAAAAAAAAGAGCTAAACTAATTTTATGTACATCATTAGGTAACTAGAAATAAATAGTACCATTTCCCCCCTACACAATATGACCCACACATTTTATCACGCAACAACCTTTAGATAGTAAGCATTTAAGTCACTGCTAACACTAGTCATACTATTCACTTGCCTAAGCATGTCTTTAAATCTTGATCTGATTTTTACTTAGTAGTATTATTAAATTTGTTGACTCTTAGCCATAAAAAGAAAAGATGAATAACTTCCTTGGTCATTTTTGCAAGTAAATACATCCAAACATGAATATAGTATAGATGAGTTCACATGTGCACAGAGATATGTGTGCACACATACATGTACATACACACACATGCACACACACAAGTTGACATCCAAGTTTAAGGTGCTAGTTTTGAAGGATTGTGTCTTTTTTTAGTAGAAATTATTTAAATTTATCAAAACATACATTCCCATGTTTCTGGCTTCCGCTTGACTTAGATTTTCTTCTGGTCCTACTATTTTTATAGAACTGATTTCATGTTTAGCTTTATCAAAAAATGTCTTGATGTCCTTTTCATGATAAACTTCCTATAATGTATATAAAAAATTGAAAATTAGAGAAAACAGAAGGCAATAATATGACTGAAGTATTCATATGTAGGGATGGTGAAGTTGTGAATTTCACATATACATATTGAGACAAAATTATGACAATTACAGACTAAATGACAACCACATTAAACATGTTATATTTGAATATCACCTAAATGCCACATGAATAATCTCAACTACATAAAATTTAGTACTTTTTAAACAGAAGGTAATTCAAAATTATTTTAACAGCTACTATACAGATCCTTGCACAGATATTCAAATCTTCAATGCTATAAAATGTTTCTAACTTGAGGGATAAAATGGTTATAGCCTGAGAATTTTAGACATGTGTCATAAAATATCTATTTAAATGTCTATTAAATTTAATAGATATTAAACTTTACAAATATAAAATAATTTTATAAGGTTTTATAAAATTAATCTTTTGCTAATCTGTGAAGCTAGAGAAAAAATTAACAGTCACATACAAAATTGTGCTTTTACAAGAAAGGAGAGTTTAACAAAATTTTGCCAACAGGGAAATACAATGTGAAATTCATCACATAATAATCATCAATTAGTGAGACAGAGCTGTGCTAAAAATTCAATAGGATTAGCTGTCTCCAAGCATATGAAATGCTTCATGAAAAGCATTTCATAGCTTTTTATGTATCAAGTTCTACCAAAAATTCTGAAAGATTTTCAGTTTCTCACAAATACTTATCACATAAAAGCTATATAGACTTAACTGTTAAATAAATGAAGAGCAGATTAAAATCCCTGCCTCCTATGAAGGGAAGAAAAATATAAATAAAAGAAACAATACATAAAAACCCAAAACACTTAAATGTAATTACATGAACTACAACACATTTTACAATGCAAATGTTCAATGATTCACCCTTTTAAGTTAAATTAGCAGGTTTTCTGCAAATTTAACATATTCTCTGAAAAAGGCAAATGTTTATCTGACAGATACATTAGAAGGAAATAAAAAACAATTGTTCAACAAAAGTATTGTGACAGGAGAGTGAAAAAGGCATCTTTCACAGTCTGAGTTTTTATAGCTGATATTAAATGCCAATTGTTTCTGTGGGAAAGAGTCAAGTAAAAGGAAATATACTGAAGGAAAATATCTTTAAGTTTAGCTTATAAATGGGAGGTGTTTGGGAAATTGAATATTTTTGAAGGCAATGATCATATCAAAAATTTTGGGAAGAGCAAACCATTGTGTTATTAGTAAAACAATATACTTTCTGAAAGTGATTTCAAGCCCTGATGTTATGGTATCAGCATAAACTGTGAATAATTTAATAACTGGCTTTACAAAAAAAGAAAGAAAATAATAGCACTAGAACTAACCCTAAGGCAAAGCTTTTAGCATCCTAACTTTTGACATCTTTAGGTACTAAAAAGTCAAGAGCAGTAATAAGTTCAAAAATCATTCCCTGACTTTAAGTATATTTTTTATATATAAATAGTAACAAATAGTTTCAAAGAGGATCAAAAACAGTTTTCACATAAAATAGTTATTTCTCAAATACTTACTTTGTTATGAATAAAGAGTTTAAGTGCTTTTTTTGGGTAATCCAGTACCAACAGTCTGTCCAGAAATCGAGGTAGAAAAGGGGTTGGTTGCTCAATGAAAACACCTATTGTTACATTTGGATAGACCTTTGTTTTGTAGTAAATAAACAAAAAGATAAATTATCATCAACGTGGTATTACTTTAACTACTATTCAAGTCTTCAAGTCTTAATCAGTACAATACAAAACACTAGAATATCTGTTCAGCATAATCTGCCAAATTTAAATTTCTCTATAGCAGTTTTCTAACACTATAAATACATTTTCATGAACCTCAAGTGGTTTTATCCAATCATATCTTGGTATTATGAGATAGGTTTATAGAGGAAACTCACTGTCATATTTATTATGTGGGTATAATAAAGGATATTGCCTACTTTATTATTCAATTCCTTCTTTATAATGCACTTAAAGAAGCTTTCATCAAATCTGAATGTATTTTGACAGCTGCATTTAAGAAACCAGAATGTTAACTGTGTTTCCCTTTTTCCCCCATGCTTGGAAGTTCAATGCTTAATTTTTAGTTCAAATAAAGAAATCATAGCAGACTTGAGCCTTCATTTTCATCTGTGAATAGCTCCCCTAATTATTTACTAATAGTACTTTATTTTATTTCATCATCCGATATATAAGGAAAGCTATTTTCTTTCATTTATATATTTTATATTTTATCTATTTTAAATGTTTTCCTAAATACTCTTTGGTTACATTTTAGGAGACTATTTAACCTTTCATTCATTGCATGAAAAATTCTGAAATATTCATTATATTTGTCAGTTCTCATTACAAAAACATTTTCAGAAAATGGAATGAAATTTCCTGACTTGAAAAACTTACAGTATGGAAAGACAGAAACTTAACTAAATGACCATGTAATCATATTATTACCAGAACTATATTAAAGATTTTTTAATAATTTTTGAAACCATGTTTTAAAGCTTGAATTTAAGAATTATAGATTTAAGTTCCATGTAAGTAAATACCTCTCCCCACCTCTTCACACATTGTAACTGATATATTCCTCTTTTATCTGTTTTACAGCAGCATTTGTTTGCACTACAGTACAACTTGTACACCGTTGTACTTCTTGATCAATTCATTTACTCATCCAAATATTCATTACTAAATGATTAAACTAATATAAACTAAAGATGGGTATCCCTGGTGGCACAGGGGTTAAGTCTCAGTGTTATCAAGCTATACCACAGCCAGGGAGATAACCCACATGGCAGCAGACCTCTTCTATCTCACCTGCTGCTCCCCTCAGCAGTTTATTTCAGTAGATCTGCCTGTTCTGCTCCCCTCTCTGTCTCTGGTGAATACTCTCACCCCTGGCGACACTGGCCTACAGTCTAGTTCTTAAATACATAAATAAATAAATCTTTTTTAAAAAGTATCTATTATTTGTGTATTATTGCTGGGATGCCTGCCTTGTTAACTTATTGTCATGTTACATTTATAATCATTTAAGTGACACATTTTTGATGACTATCAACACAATCTTTGATGCTGCCATAGTTAGATATCACATATGGGGGTTAAGTCTCAGTGCTATCACCACTATGGCCTGAGTTCAGTCCCTGGCCAGGGAACTAACTCACTTGGCACAGCAAACCTCTCCTGTCTCATCCACTGCTCCCCTCAGAAGTGTATTTCAGTCAATCTGCCTGTTCTCTCCCCTCTCTGTCTCTGGTGCATCTTCTCACCCCCCGCACCTTTGGCCTATATCCCAGTTTTTGTACTAAAGAGAAAGTATCTACCCTCTGGAATTTCTCAGTGTAATAGGGAAAAAAGAAAATAAAAAGTGAATTACAACTCTCCTTCATATCAAGTGGGATGAAGCATTTCATAACTTCAGAGAGTACTTTATTACTCAAATTTACACAAAGAAAATAGAATTCAGAGAAACTAAACAACCTGGAACACATGGATTAGTAAAGAGCTGGGTATCAACATGCTACACAGCCATTATCAATCAAAGTTAATTTTTATATACTAATGATAATAATACAACAGTCAACATTTACTGATGAGTCAGCACTTCAAATATTTATGCTTGTAAATATTATATATAAAATATATAAAATTTCATTTAATGCTACCAACTCTCTGGGTTATTATTTTTACATATAAAGAAATTTGCCCATGACCCACATCTAAGAACAGGTCTGACATTATAACAACACACATAATTTTACATAATTTTGATAACATTATTAAAAGTAAAATTTTAAATCATAAAACAGTTTATCTCTATTACATAATGACACATAAAACACATGAGAAATTTATTTTTGTAATAGAATGAATATTTTTTTTTCTAAGACTGTAGGAAAAAACAAATAATCAACTGATTTACTTATCTATGAAAATAGATAAAAATTTTGAATATGAAAAATGTAATATATTTTTGTATCTTTGTACTAGTAGGTTTATGTAACTAGAACAAACAGTTAAAAAGTATTAACAATTCCTCCAGTATACAACACTGCTTTCTGCAAAAAAGATCAAAATTAATCTTTAAATATCCTCATGCTGCAAAAATATGGTGACATTCTTTCCAGATAGGAAACATTCAGTTTGTTATTTGAGAGAATGTCCAAAAAATCCTTATTTCAAGTAAAACTGAGCTCTATTCAGAAGTTCCTAAATGTGCAGAAGTTACTCTTTTTCCTCCTTTCTGACAGTTACAAGAATAGAAACTAATTTAGGAGTTTTAGTTACTATGGACATCCTAAAACTGCTCTCATTAATGACAGACAATTCATATACATGTTTTTAAAATAATAAACACTTTCAATTGCTCATTGGCCCTCAAAGAATAAATAAGTAAATAGCTATAATTCCCTCTGAAGTGTATATATATATATATATATATATATATATATATATATATATATATGTAGCAGCATGCTTGGCATACACTTGAAACATCCAAGCAAAATTGTAAAGCAGTCAAGGATATGGGAACTGGAGCCAGACTGCCTAAATTAAAATCCCATCTCCAACACTTAAAAAATTATGTACCCTAAAGTAGGGAGGTAACCTGTCCATACTTCATTTATCTCATCTATAAAACTGTCAAAAGTACTACTGACTTGTGAGATGTTGTGAAGTTTACTAGATGTAAAATGCTTAAGGCCTTCTTATATAAACATATATTATTATTTTTAAAAGACCAAATTTGAAAAATAAACACAAATAAAATAAATTAATACAGATGCTGAGGCATGTAACTATTTTCTTCTCAATGTGTGACCAAGGTAGTTGACTGAAATAAAACATGAGCACCCAACCATACCAAGCTATTAAATATTAACAACCAACTCACTATTATGTGGGTAAGTTATTAGCTGGTTTTGTTTTCAAAGCAGTTCAGAAATATATAAATCTAGCAAATTTTTTAGTCAGCATATTTTATTTTCATAAATGCACTATAATATCAAAACTATAGAATAAGGTGACTTTTTTCCTATATATAAACCTCTGCAATTCATGACATGTAACTTTTTATAACCACATTTTTAAGGAGTCAATCCTACTTACATCTACTTCAGACAAGTCAATTGTATCCAAATTACAAAAAGTGCAGCCATTATCCTGGGTCCATGCATTAGGTACATAGTTTCCAAAATAATTCAGAAGAATCTAGTAAATGAAAGAAAACTGTATTAGCAAAAATGAGCTTCTCCCATCAATGTCTAGAAATGAAAAAAAAAATTCCACTATAAGTCATAAAAGTCACTTTATTTCATTATATAGCAAATAACAGGAGAGACACAATTAAGGGAATATGTCAAACAATGAAACAGTTTTTATTGGACTAATAAGACTTATTAGCAAAACAAAGCAAATAAGAGCAGGTATGTGAATAGTAATTTAGGAATAAGCATGGATTGCCAAGGTGAATGGGAGAGTGTCAAAATAACTTTTTTTTTTAAGATTTATTTATTTTTATACAAGAACCAGGGTACAGGCCGGATGCGCAGGAAGGTGAGGGGATTCACCGGAGGCAGAGCAGGGAACAGAACAGGCAGACTGACAAAAAATTATTATTTCCAAAATAATTCAGAAGAATCTAGTAAATGAAGGAAAACTGTATTAGCAAAAATGAGCTTCTCCCATCAATGTCTAGAAATGAAAAAAAAAATTCCACTATAAGTCATAAAAGTCACTTTATTTCATTATATAGCAAATAACAGGAGAGACACAATTAAGGGAATATGTCAAACAATGAAACAGTTTTTATTGGACTAATAAGACTTATTAGCAAAACAAAGCAAATAAGAGCAGGTATGTGAATAGTAATTTAGGAATAAGCATGGATTGCCAAGGTGAATGGGAGAGTGTCAAAATAACTTTTTTTTTTAAGATTTATTTATTTTTATACAAGAACCAGGGTACAGGCCGGATGCGCAGGAAGGTGAGGGGATTCACCGGAGGCAGAGCAGGGAACAGAACAGGCAGACTGACAAAACACACTGCTGAGGGGAGCAGCAGGCAAGGCAGGAGAGGTCTGCTTCGCCATGTGGGATTCTCGCTGGCCAGCTCTTAACGAACCCCTGCTGCAGAGGCTGCAGACAGCTTCACAGCGTGGCGCTCAACTGCCAGCGCCACCAGAGAGGCCCCAAAATGACTTCTTAAGACCATCACCACATGAAACAAAAACTGTACAAACTTTATCACCAAAGGCCTAAACTCTTTCAGAAAACCCTACTTACTATAACCAGACTTCTAGACAGTGATTCAAGGGCACTGACTTCAGGACAAGAAAGAATGCAGAATAAAACAGATCTAGAACAAGGACCTAGAAACTACCCCAAAACTACCATCAATAAACTAAAGGGGGGGCCTCCTTGATGGCCTAGGCGTTAAGTCTCAGCACTATCACTGCTATGGCATAAGTTCAATCCCCATCCAGGGAGCTTACTCATATACGGCACAACAAACCTCTCCTGTCTCCCTCGTTACCCCCCTCAGCAGTGTGTTTCATTAGATTTACCGGTAATGTTCCCAGCTATCTCTCACCCAGCACCCGCGCCTCTAGCCTATACCCCAGTTTTTCTGTGCATAAATCAATAAATGAATAAACCTTTAAAATAATAAAGGACAGTATTGTTTCCCCACTCACCCCTTTCAGATCTCTCAGAGAGTCTCCTTTGTGAGTTATCTCCCTTTTCTTTGAGTAACTATTAGCACTCAATTTGATCTATGAAGTTTGAGTCCTGGGCCTCCCTAGTGGTGCAAGTGGTTAAGCACAGCACTATGAAGCTGTCTGTAGCCTCTGCAGCATGAATTTGATCCCCTGCCAGACAGGGAGCTACCCACATGGCACAGCAGACCTCTCCTGTCTTGCCCGCTGCTCCCTCAGCAGTGTATTTCAGTCAGTCAGCCTGTTCTGTTCCCCACTCTGTCTCTATTGAATCCTCTCACCCCCCTACACCCCTGGCCTGTACCCCAGTTCTTATATGCATAAATAAATAAATCTTTTAAAAAAAAGTTTGAGTCCCTGTATGTGTTTTGAGTAGAGAAGAGGGTGGGGACAGATGGATGAGGAAAGAGAAGTAAACATGCTACAATAAGCCTGAGTCCTCAAACAAATCCTGAATATCACTACAGAGTGGACATCATAGGGAAAATTCTCCCAAATTACTTTTAAAAAATGACTCTACATGCTATGACAATTGAAATAATAGTTGCAGCATGAACATTTGTAGTTTTTTTATTTTTACTTCTCTTCACAAACTGTAATTGTTTTACCCCAAGACAGTGAAGGTAAGGCAAATTAACATTGACTATAATTTTAGAGCTCTGCTTAAAGGAGCAGCTAAAAATTCTTGCCTACATAATTATTAATTTTTCACTGGAAATCCAAAATGAATGCAAAAGAAAAATGTTTCTCTATGAATATGATGGCCAAAAATGTACAGAATTGCCAACTGGATTTTTCAAGCTTACGAAAGACTCTAAAGGCTCTAAAAGAGTTCTTATGGTATACAATAGATGAGGTAATTAGTCCAGTACTATGACACCAGATTCCACCGAAATATGTGGCATTCCATTCAAATAGTTCTATTGTACTAAAACTAAAACAAATACTTGTGAAAAAAGAATAGCATTCATCACCATGGGAAAATCTTTGTGCTACACAGTTAGAGCAGACAGTTATATTTAATCTGTATAGCACAACCACACACCATGGGCAAGTACCTCAAATGCCATTTGAACTACGTGATAATTTAGGAAACAAAGTAAAAGAAGGGAAATATGCAGGCATATTATTCACTAACATATCAATAATCAATTTGCACATTTTAATGTATTCCTATAAAAATTTACTGTCATCAGTCCTCCCGGTGGCCTAGAGGTAAAGTCTCAGTGCTATCACTACCACGGCCTGAGTTTGATCCCCAGCCAGGGAGCTAACCCACATGTCACAGCAGACCTCTCCTCTCTTGCCCTCTTCTCCCCTCAGCAATGTATTTCAGTAAATCCACTCTGCTCCCCACTCTATCTGGTGAATCCTCTCACCTCCCACACTTCTGGCCTACCCCCCAGTTCTTCTATGCAAAAAATAAAGAAATTTGAAAAAAATACTGTCATCAAATTACAAATGCAAACATTAATTTAATCATGTATGTTCTATACAATATATACAATGTGATTTTGAAGGAGGAAAATGAAAATAGTCATGTGAAAATCATTATTATGCATTAATTCTACTGACTTTTTAAAAGCATTGTTTTGTTTAAAATAGTCTGGGAGGGCCTCCCTGGTGGCGCAAAGGGTTAAGTCTCAGCACTAAGAAGCTATGGGCAACCACTGTAGCATGAGATTGATACCGGGCTAGAGGATAACCCATAGGGTGCAGCAAACCTCTCCTGTCTCGCCCGCTGCTCCCCTCAGCAGTGGATTTCAGTAGATCCACCTGCTCTACTCCCCACTTTGTCTCTGGTGAATCCTCTCACCCCCCACACCTCTGGCTTGTACCCCAGCTCTTGTATGCATAAATAAAATAAATCTTTAAAAAAAAATAGTCTGGGAAATAAAACATTCTTAAAGAAGGAACAAACTCCATAAATAGTTGGCCTAAATCTGCAACTCCCATCTATACATAAAGACTGGTACTTTCCTCACCTTAGAAATCTCATAAAAAATATGAGGGAATGAATATATGTGACTATGAAAAAGATCAATATTTTAGAGCATACAGAACACTACTTTGAGTTTTCAAACGTAAATTTGATTTTGTAAATTTTCTACTTTTTAATTTCAATTTTATAGATTCTTGAGGCATTTTAAAAACATTACTTTTGACTGGAAACCTCCCCTCCCTCTTTTGAATTTCTCACCACACAGGCAGAGTTTGTCTGCCACACCCACCCTCCATGTACATCTGTTTTCTTCATTAAAATGTGCAGACATAATGCTGGCAACTTTGGAAAGTACAGAAAACTGTTTATGCACTTAAGCTGTTCTGGGTGGTTCCTGAGTACTAGGTGATAGTATTTTCTTGATTCTTCTTTCATAATATCAAATGTTTCCAAATATGATGTCATTTCATTGGTGGAGAAACTTTTCCCATCAAATCCTTCCTTCACTTTTCTCCCCATTCTTATTGTTTGTTTGTTTTAGTTTCTTTTAATAACGTACAATTGTTATAAAGACACCTGAAATAATCCTCAATATCTATTAAACTTATACTCAAAGAGTACAAAACCTGATTAAGTAAAACAAAATGGAGAAAAGGTCTGTTCAAGATGATTAAGATGAAAGAAAACAGGTTAGTATTTGGTAGATGTGCAGCAAGTACACTGAAGGCATTTCAATTAGGCAGAATTTGTTCTAAAAAGCATTCACATTACTCAGAATACTCTTCGACTTACTCCTGGGTGGCAAAAAGGACAGCTGCTAAAAGTGGTATGGACAGCCCTGCTTTCTACATAGAAATCAGTAGAGAGAGAAACTGTCAAAGTAAGTGCTGTTAGGACTATCACCCACCCCCTTTCCCCAATGATCACGACCCAAATGAAGACCTCACAGAATGTCAGGGAATTTCTAGGATATACTAAAGCCAGGTTGGGAGATTCTGCTTGGTTTATAATCAATTAAATAATTTAGGCTACAATGACTTTTCTCAAGGGTTGTGTTGATTTTTGTCCTCAAATCTTGACTGTAACTTGTCTATAGTGGTACCAATTTTAACAGAAGAACCTTGAAGGAAAAAATCCAATTTTTTGAGTTATTTTTTCCTTCCTCATTTGTGGGTTTTGACACACTTTTCCATATGAGCCATAAAACTGTCCATTTCTTTTTGTCAACTGATCCTATTGAATACTCTAAATGACTGCTCTCAAGCCATTTTGTCTACTCTGAATGACTACTCCTGCATCAAGTCCTAACATCTTCCTGCTCATTTTTGCTTCTTTCTTCTCTTCTTGAGCCCTCTTTTGCCTTGCATTCATCTCTTGCTTTGATTTTTAACAAAGGCTATATAGGATGGGACTGTTCTGGCATCAAAGGCTTGTTGAATAATGTTCCTTATCCTGGGTTCAGCTGTATACGGCACACACAGTACAGACTTCATGACCTGATCCATATCAACTTTTAAGTGCAGATGGGCCTGTTTAAAATCAGCTAGCTCTTCT